CCATGGGAGGGATGCATGTTGCAAGCTGGCGTCCTGGCCTGGAGCAGGGGAAGCCTGTCGCCTCTGCCCTCTGCTCCTTCCTCTCCCGTCTCTCTCCGTCCTGCAGGTGAGAGGCAGCCTGGGCTCCAACATTCTCAGCGCCATGGCCGCCTTTGCCGGGACTGCCATTCTGCTCATGGATTTCGGCGTCACCAACTGGGTGTGTTGTCCGACGTCCCCAGGAGTGGGGAGACTTGGAGAATGAAGGGGTCATATTCTAGAAGGGGCAGGAGGCCAGCATTTGCAGCACCAGGAGGTTCTGTGGTCTGGGCAGGGGCAGGACCCCTGAGCCCCAATGGAGCCTGTGAGTGTATTGACCCCACGACCCTCCCCAGGGTCGGAGTGTCGGGGAGACAGAGAGGCAGCCTGGTGGAGTGCAGGGGAACAGCACTGGCAGCAGGAGGACTGGCTCCGGGGACAGCTCAGGCGTGACTTGCCCTGTGACCATGCACACTTACTCTTCCCCGGGCCCCTCGCCTCCTCTGTTCTGGACCTCTTGGCTTGCCTTGACCGTGGGTTTTTGGTCCCCAGGATGTGGGCAGGGGCTATCTGGCCGTCCTTACCATCTTCACCATCCTGGAGTTCTTCATCGCAGTGATCGCCACCCACTTTGGGTGCCAAGCCACCCGCGCCCAAGCCAACGCGGTGAGTACTTCCACCCCCATGCCTACCCCAAACCTGGGCTGCGAGGGCGTCTCTAGATGGGCAGTCTCTCTGCTTTCAGCCCTCCCTTCTTTTCCCCAGGAAGCAATTTGTAGGGACTGGGCCATGAGCTCCCCACATCAAGGGACCCCAAAGGACCATATGGTCTCCAGGAGGTGCCGTTTGCACTCGCTGCTAACCTAACCGTTGGCGGCTTGAACCCACCCTGCGGGCCGCAGAAAATAGGCCTGGCGGTCTGTCTCCATTAAGTTTACAGCCAGGAACACCCCATGGAGCGCAGCCGTGCTGTGCAACACACGCGGGCGCCCTGAGTCGGGGAGCCACTAACAAGAAGTCCGCTAATGCACGCGAACGGAACTACACGTATCCTCCTTGTGGCCACGAGGGGGCGCCAGCACCAACCGACCCGCTACTCCGTGAGGCTGAGCTGGGAGCCTTGACGCAGAGCCCTCAAAGGCCTGGGCACCCGGGTAGAGGTGTGCGGAGGACCCTCTAGGAGTTCACAGACCATGGGGGACACAGGGGGCACCAGGAGGGGCAACATGACCGAGGTGCAAACTGAACCAAGGAAGTGGAAGAAAGTGACTGTGGAAAAAGAGACATCCGTGTCAGCGGAACCAGTTGAAGCAGGCGCGGTGTGCTGCCGACCTGGGACAGGTGGAGGCACAGCTGCGGGGTCTGAGCAGGGGAGCGAGGTGCCACAGAGCTCGGTTCAGGGAAATCAGTCAGGAGGTTTGGGGAATACCAAGGGGTGGGGCCGTGCTGGAGGCCGAGGCTACAGACGGGCAGGTGCTGAGGTCCTGGCGAGAACGAGAACGCAGCCTTAAACCCTCCGGGGGCAGAGCAGAGACGGAACACCGGAACCTTAGCTCCTAGGTAAAGGGGATGCTGGTCTCTTTGCCTCACTGCTGTACTGCAGACGCTTGGGTCATAGCTGATCCGGGGAAAAACAGGCGCCACCGCGTCAATTCCAACTCATGGCAAGTCCCTGGTGGTGCAAACGGCAGCCGCAGGTCCGAGGTTTGAGCGGCGGCGGAGCGCGGGTGACGAGCACCCGGGGCAATCTCTAATTTGCACCCCCCCACACCCACATTGAAGATGAATGGACCTTGATAGCGCGACCGTCACCAGAAACGCCTTCCCACCTCTTGTCCGGCCGCCTCCGTCAGACAGACGCCTTTCAAATTTGTGGCACCTTGGAATGCCATTCCGCGCCTCCTCTGGCGCCCCCTTGGGCTTGCGTCCGGGGGGCAAAGACCGCAGAGCTTCCCCTCCATTCGCCTCCGGATGTCTCCGGCGCTTGAGGAAGGATGGTGGGTCGAACTGGGTTAATAGAAACTGCCGTGGTGCCCTCCCGCAAGTGGCGCCCACGACTCTGGGTTTGAATCACCCCAGGGGTGCCTCAGAAGGAAGGCCTGGCAACCCACTTCCGGAAAATCAGCCACTGAAGACCCTACGGCGTGCGGTCGTGTTCTGACATACATGGGGTCGCTAGGAGTCCCGGGTAAACATGTTCTGAAATATTAGTTGAATGAAGTCAACCCATTGCAAGTTTCATGACTAGGGCACTGTTCTCTGAATTTCCACAAGAGGGCACTATTGTAACACCTCCCCGGGTTCCACAGCCCTCAGGGACCTTCATTGGATTTAATTTTCTTTGCAGCCTGTGATTTTCCTGCCAAACGCCTTCAGCACGGACTTCAATATCCCCAGCCCAGCAGCCTCTCCGCCCCCTGCGTATGACAATGTCGCCTATACACCCAAGGAGTCTTCTGAGTAGACCGTCACACTCTCAGGGTTGGAGCCCAGCCTCCCTCCTCTGGGCCCAGCCTCTCCCCACCCCCACCCTGTTCATCTGTTTGGGGAGGGGGGCCGGCCTTTCTGTTGGCCTGTCTCCCCTCCCCCCTCCAAATCTCCACATTTTGTGGCATCTGAGTGAAGCATTACCTGGTGACATTTGTCCCACACACTCCCCCAGCAATTTCTTTCCTAAAAAACTACAGAATGATGTCCAGGGTGTGTTGTCTTACTTCCTGAGCCCTGTCGCCCTTCCCAGGATGACCCCTTTGTGCCACTTGGTCCAGTCTGCTCATTTCCGGGAAGGAGGTAGGGGGAACCCTGGTCTCACTGGGAGGCTTGAGGGCCAGGTTTGCCCTGGCCCTTTCCTGTATGGGCTTGGGAAGGTCATTTAAACCCAGCAAACCCAGAATGCTCCAGAGAGGACAGGCTCCTGCGAGGCCGGAGTCTGACCCTGGCATTTCACAGAGCTGCAGAGGCCAAGCAGAGGCCACACGACAAGGCAGTGCGACTGACCTCGCTTGTTCTGATCCCAAGACTTGCGTGGCCTTTGCAGTCTGCTGCCAAGGTCTCGGTTTCCCTGTCTCTAAACTGAAACATTGAACCAATGACCTGTGAGGTCCTTCCAGGCCACACAGGCACCTGGGTCAGACAGGAGGGAGAGGCTGCAGTGGGCCAAGCTCTCCAGGGCTCCCTGGGCTTAGCTCAGGCACCCACCTCCTCCCGCTGAAAAGCCCCGGGTTCCTCATCTGTAAAATCGAGTTAGTGTTGACTCCCAGGCTGGAAAGGCTGCAGGGCAGGGACAGAGTCAGCCCAGGACCTCAGGCTGCACAGTGACAGTGGGCCTCCCTCCCCTGGTGACTCAGTATCTCCTGGTGCCTCTCAGCGCCTCCCCCTCCCCACCCCCACAGCCTAGAGTGTAGTCACTGGAGCTGAGAGGCCTGTCTGGGAGACCAGCAGTCACCTTGTATCTCCAGAGGCCCTGTGAGTGTTATATCTCTTCCAAACCATGAGAATAAACAGTGTGGTTTGAACTTTGAGCTGGTCTCTTTACAACGACATTCTCTTCTTAACCTCAGGGGTTTCTAATGGTTGTCCCATGTCTTTCAGAGGACCCGGGTGACTGTCCTCGGTCCCAGCAAAAGAGCACCCGTGGAATAATCCTTCCACTTATCAGCCCCCGTTACTGTATTGCAGACATCAGTGTACTGGTTTCCTAGAGCTGCCATGACAAATGCCACGAACTGGCTGGCTCACCAGAACAGAATGTATTGTCTCACAGTCTGGAGTCTGAACGCAGGGTGTCCGCGGGCCCATGCACGCAATGAAGTCTCCAGGGGAAGATCTTTTCTGGGCTCCCCAGATGTGGATCATGACAAATTATGGATAACATTGAGAAGAATGGGAATTCCCGAGCACTTGATTGTACTCATGAGGAATCTGTACCTTGATCAGGAGGCTGTCGTTCGAACAGAACAAGGGGACAGTACATGGTTTAAAATCAAGAAGGGAGTGTGTCAGGGTTGTATCCTTTCTCCACACTTATTCAATCTATATGCTGAGCAAATAATCCGAGAAGCTGGACTGTATGAAGAACAACGTGGTATCAGGATTGGAGGAAGAATCATTAACAACCTGAGATATGCAGACGATACAACTTTGCTTGCTGAAAGTGAGGATGACTTAAGGCACCTACTGATGAAGGTTGAAGAATACAGTCTGAAGTATGGATTACGTCTCAATATAAAGAAAACAAAAATCCTCACAACTGGACCAATGAGCAGCATCACAATAAATGGAGAGAAGATTGAGGTTGTCAAGGAATTCACGTTGCTTGGTTCCACAATCGATGCCAATGGAAGGAGCAGTCAAGACATTAGACGATGTGTAGCATTGGGAAAGTCAACTGCGAAGGAACTGTTTCAATTGCTGAGGAGCAAGGATATCTCCTTGAGGACTAAGGTGTGCCTGACACAAGCCATGATATTTCCAATCGCCTGGTATGCATGTGAGAGCTGGACAATGAATAAGGAAGACCGAAGAAGAGTTGATGCTTTTGAGTTGTGGTGCTGGAGAAGAATGCTGAAAGTACCATGGACTGCTAAAAGAACTAACAGATCTGTCCTGGAGGAAGTGCAGCCAGAGTGCTCCTTCGAAGCAAGAATGGCCAGACTTCGTCTCACCTATTTTGGTCATGTTGTAAGAAGGGACCATTCCCTGGAGAAGGATGTCATGCTTGGTAGGGTGGAGGGTCGACGAAAGAGGGGGAGGCCTTCAATAAGATGGATTGATACGGTGGCTGCAATGATGAGCTCAAGTATAGCAGGGATTGTGGGGTTGGCGCGGGATTGGGCAGTGTTTCATTCTGCTGTGCATGGGGTCACTATGAGTTGGAAATGACTCGATAGCACTTAACAACAACAACAACAACCAGGCTTCTGGGATTGCCAGGCATTCCTTGGCATGTAGCTGCGTCTTCCCACGGCCATCTTTCCTCCATCTCTCTGTCCTCTTTTATAAGGACACCACTCACCTTGCATTCGGATCCACCCTACTCCAGTAAGACTTCATGTCAACTGACAACATCTTCAAAGACCCTATTTCCAAGCAGGGTCACATTGGTAGGTTCCAGGGGTAGGACTTCAATGTGTCTTTCTGGGGGACATAATTCAGTCCATAACAATGAGTGTCTCCACTCTGCAGCTAAGGGCACTGAAGGGGAAAGACATTAAATCACATACCCAAGGCCACCTAGCGAATAAGAGGCGATGCTGGGGCTAGAACCCAGCTCGGTCTGGCACCACAGTCTGTGCTCTTAACATATGGGCTCTTCATAGTCCAAATCCAAGTGCCTTCCACCACCCCTTTCCCTCCCCCCTTCTGCCTCTTCACCCCAAAGCCTGAGGAAGGCTGCCTTCCTCAGCACCCCAACTTCTTCACCTAACAAACTCCTGCTGCTCCTCAAGACCCACTTTAAATGCTGCACCCTTTGTGAGGTATCCCCAGTTTCTTCTGCAGTATTAGACCCTAGCTCCTCTGGGTTCTCCAACACTTGGAATCACTTTTATGTTTGTGGAGGTTGTATTGAAGGCTGTGGTGCAGTGAATTGCTTACTGTGGGTCTTCTAGCCATGGTCTTTTGACTCCATCAGATGACTGGGTGGGGCTGTGCAAATGGGAGCTGCTTGTGGCGCACCAAGGGGACTGGGTGGTTAGTTAATAATGTAAATAAGGTTCATGGTGCCCTTATGGGGGTGGGACCACGGAAATAAGGTGCTTGGAACCCTCTTGTGGAGATAGGTCAGTTCTGTCCTTGCACTAGGCTTAGGATGAGCCAGCTCAGACATGGAAAAGGGGGATCTCACTGCCATGAAGAAAGAACCAGGAGTAGGGTGCTTCCTTGGACACAAGATCCCTGTGCTGGACCTCTTTGGTAGACAGAGGACAGGGAGACAGCAGAGAGACAGGGACAGCAGAGGCAGCAGAACCAAGAGACCAACATGAGACAGTGGTCGTGGTAGGCTTGCCAGCCCACAGAGTGAGAAAGCTGAGTGCCTCTGGACAGGAGGCTCGCTGGCGGCCCTTTCTGGGCACCAATCGACAAAGCTGAGAGAGCTTTGTAACACTGGCCGGAGCAGAGCAGAGGCTGAGGCCAGAGAGAAGCATGTCTGCGGCATGGCTGAGAAGAAGCTGTCCTGGCCAGAGCTTTGTATCCTGAGCACATTCCTGAACCTGAATAATAGCCTGTTTCTTCCCTAATCAAACCCATAATCATGAGTCTTGTCTGTGAGTTCTTTGTGGCTACTGCAAGGAATGAGTGAACCCAGCAGAAAGTAGAGAGTGCCATGGGAGGGATGGTTGGTGTCGTTGGTGAACAAGCTGGAGGGTGGTGGCATGTGTCACCCCCACCTCAGAGGACCCAGCCTTGGGCTGTTGATGTTCTGGATCCTCTGTCACCCTTGTGAAGTTAGAAGAGGTCAGAGGACAACGCCCCACGTCCTTTTTGCAACTGCACACACACACACACAGAAGCTGAAAGGAAAGAAGAGGAGTCGACTTTTAAGTGGCAAGTGAGGCACCCAGGGCCCACAATTTAAGGGGGTGCCCACTTCAGAGTCACACAAGTAGAGGGTTGGGTTGGGGTCACGAGGAGCTTTGTTTCTGAAAATTAGGAGACGAGGCTTGAGAACTTAGAGTTGAGAACTGAAAACCATCAAACATAGAGGTGGGAAAATGTGTCTGAGGACTGTATGGATTAAATTACGTCCCCAGAAACGTGTTATAAAGCCTAAGCCCTAGACATGTGGGTGCAATCCCATGGGGAATAGGGTTTTCCTTGTTATGTTAATGAGGCTGTGTGGTATGGGGTGTGCTCTACGCCAGTCACATCTGAGATACCAGATAGCAGATCAGGGACAGAAGCAACAACCATGGATTGGGAAGATCAATGTCGCCACGTGAAGGCCACCAAGGAACCAAGGAGCAGGAGCTCAGGAAAGACAGGGACCTTCCCCAAGAGCTGACAGAGAAAGGAAGACTCCCCCTAGAGCCAGTGCCTGAATTCAGACCTGTAGCCACCTAATCTGTGAGAAAGGAAGTTTCTGTTCATTAAAGCCACCCCCTTGTGGTATTTCTGTTATAGCAGCCCTAGAGAACTAAGGCCAGGATTTAAAACCAGATTTTCCTCCACACATCCAGCAGATTGGAGACATTTCTGAACTGAGTGGGGAGTTCGGAGGGAGAGGGAGAAGGAGAAAAAGGATGAGAGCTTAGCGTCAGCTGGGACTAGTGCCCTCTGTCCCCACATTAAGTCCCTCAGGAGGCGTGGGAGCCAAAGGCTACACGTCAGCTAGAAGGAATTGCAGAGCTGGGACACGTTCTCACATCCCAGGATATAACCTGAGGAGACTGCAAGCCCCTTAGAGTATCCCACATCCAGGCGACATGGAGCCAGGACGTAGAGAAGGCGAAGGGCTGTGCCTGG